AATCTTCAAATTTGTCCATTAAATTGATATTCAATGTGAACATTTATGTATGTTCATTCAATTTATTTGATTTAAAATTGTGTCATTGTTTTTGTCCATTAAAATAGTATCCAATATGAATAATTAAATTGAGTCTATTCATTTAATTTAATGTAAAATTGTGTTATTTTTTTTTTTTTTTTGTCCGTTAAAATGGTATCCAATGTAAATAATTAATAGGGTAAATTATATACCACCCTTTTTGTTTTAATAAAAATGCACAAAACACCATTTGTTTTATTTACTGCGTAAAATCTCCTTGTGTTAATCTAAAATTTGCACGAAACACCCTTCTTGTCCAACATTGATGTTTGGTTCTAAATAAAAACCTAAATTATGCAAGTTTTACACAAATAAAAAAACGTAAAATATTTTAAATATATTTTTTGAATAATATAAATAAATAAATAAATAATTGATCAATCATTTATTTGTATAGTTTTTGTAAAAATCACATAACAATTTATCTAAAGAAACTATAAAATGAAGTATTAATCAATTATTTATTTATTTATTTATTTTATTCAAAAAAAAATTATTTAAGATATTTTACAATTTTTTATTTGTATAAAACTTGTGTAATTTAGGTTTTTATATAGTACCAAACATCAGTTTTGGACAAGTAGGGTTTTTCATGCAAATTTTATATTAACACAAGTTTCACGCAATAAATAAAATATGGGGTGTTTTGTTCATTTTTACAAAAATAGAAGGGTGTGTTATATAATTTACCCTAATTAATATTTCAAATAATTTTGATATATCTCATTAAATTCTTCTATAAATATGTGTAAAATGAAAATATCATTCATTTCAATTCATAATGAATTAGAACAGTATAGGTTTTTCACTTCATAATTCATTATCATCTTCTTCGGGTGATGATTTTGAAGTGGAAAAAGAAGTATAAGTGTTTCGGAATAACATCAAAAGATTATAAGATAATCTTTACATGCTCAACTATCCTTCTCCAGGTGGCTCTACTCCCAATCATAGAGTGATCAATCGTGATCGTGAAGTTGCGAGTTTCAATTTGTTCAAAAATTACTTAAGTGATAATCCACGATACAATAATGAAATGTTTCATCGTTAGTATCGAATGTCATGACCCCTCTTTCTCCGTATCCTTTAGAGCGTTAAATCTCATGGTAAATACTTCCAACAACATTGTAATAGAGCAGAAAAGCTTAGATTATCACCACTCCAAAAAAAAAAAAACTGTTGTTTTTCAAATATTGGCGAATGGTGTACCGAATGATGCACTAAATGAATATGTAAAAATCGTTGAGTTTATTGCAATCGAGAGTCTTAAGAGATTTTCCCGTTTGATTGTTGATATTTTTGCAGAAACTTACCTAAGATCACCAAATGCAAATGATGTGGCAAGACTCCTACATATTGGCGAAAGCCGTGGATTTTTCAAAATGTTGAGTAGTTTAGATTGTATGCATTTGAAGTAGAAAAATTGTCTTTCAGCATTTGCCGAACAGTATACTGGACATTCAGACAAACCGACGATCATCCTAGAAGTTGTGGTTGATTATGATATTTGGATATGATATGCTTATTTTGGTTTGACGGGGGCAAACAATGAAATTAATGTGCTCAATTCATCAAATTTATTTTTCAATCTCACACAACTTATTACTTCACCTGCAAATTATGTTATCCAAGGAAAAAAGTATGACATGGGATATTATTTAGCTGATGGTATATACCCAAAGTGGTCAACCCTAGTGCAAACTATTCGTGAGCCACGAGACCGGAAGAAACAATGTTTTGCAATGAAACAAGATGCGTGTGTACGAAAGATGTGGAGCATGCATTCGAAGTTTTGCAATTGTTGTAGGGTCATATTGTTTTTGGGATAAAAAATTTTTACATGACATTGTGTTTGCATGCATTATCATGCATAATATGATTATCGAAGATGAACGTGATCTCAATGTACTAATAATAGACAGTCCAGATACACTACTTCCTACGGTTGAAAGAGTCGTCAATGAAGATGCTTGTTTTAGCAATGTCTCAGCCGACATAAACGGATAAGAGATAAAAATGTATATACGACACTGCGAAATGCGTTAATATATCATTTATGGGAGAGCTACGTCAATCAAGAAGATTGTAATGATTAATATTTTAGTTTAATTATACTATTATTTACGGTCATTATTTTTTTAATATATTTGTGATTTCACCTTAGTATTTTATTTTATTTATTTTTTAAATCATTATTTTTCACATAAAAATAATCAAATTAAATAATACTTGCTCCGTTCCACTTACCATGTTCATGTTGCAATTTCTATCCGTCCTACATCCTATGTCACTTTCTTTTTTTAAAAATGATTACCCATTTTAATCTTCTTTTAAATTTGTTAATTTTAAATTTTTTTAATTTTAATTAAACTAATTAGTTATCTTAATCTTAATCTATAATAATTTATATTACGGGTTAATTATTTTCACTAATACATTTTTAATTATCTACTTATTATATTTATCCTAAATTCTCGTGTCTACTGTGACCAAGACATCCATTGTGGGACGAATGTAGTATATTATTATTATTTTTATTATTATTTTTATTTTTAAAAATTGTTTCAATAAAATAATTTGAATTTATTGAAAAAAATTAAGGTTAATATGTAAATAAATAAAAGTTTAGAGACACAAGTCCTAATAGACCCTCTAAAATTGTGATTCAACCTAAATTTTATATCTTGAAACCCAATAAACATTATATAATTATTTAAAAATAAAGAATATATGTAGAATATTTATTTTAGAGAAAAAAATAAAATGGGTTAGAGTGGAATTAAAATTTAAATGAAAATTTGGAGAAAATTGAGAAATCAGCCGGTGAGATACCTAATATTTGTATTAATATTGTATTTTAACATCATGCTATTTGATTTTATATTTTAGGTTGATTTTTATTATATTTTGTGTTTAATTTGCTCTATACTTATATTTTGTATTAATTATTGTTGCTAGTGTTGAATGAACATAATATATATATATATATATGGATTGCGATTTTTGATATTTTTAAAACTTTAATTATTGTATACGCTTGTTTTTATTATATTAAGTTGTATTATTGTATACGCTTTTTTTTTATTATATTAAGTTGTATTATCGTATCCGTATGTTGAATTTTAATACTATGTAATTTGATTTTAATTATTTTATATGTTGATTTCTATTTTACCTTGTATTATTCTATCTTATATTGCCATTCTTCATGCCTTGATAAGAATATGTGTTGTTATTTTATAATGTTTTTAAATCATTTCGTATGTTTTTTTATTATTATTATAATATGGACTACCTTTCGTGCATAAACTCTCATCCGAACCTAATAGTTTACGAACTAAGTTTGACAAGACAAATCACACTAGGCAACCATGTGTGACAAACAAATTCTGACGACGTCGGAGTTTGAACTCATTGAACCTATAACATCACGGTCACATGACATCTTGTATATGCTTATTATATAATGTATGGTGTAAAAAAATCAAATGACAATAAGCAACCCAAGTTGCTATCTTTTTTTTTTAAAATGAGAAAGTGCAAGCCAAATCACTCCACTTCATCATTTTTTCTTTTTTTCTGAACTTTTATGATAGTAGAACCCATAACATCTTAATAAACCTAACAAAATATATCATATTATAAAAACTATGTATGACAGATATCGATTTGAACCCAATAGTCTCACGAACATAAATTCAGCTTACACTGCAAAGTCATTTCTTGTTGTTTAAGTTTGAATTCATGAACACATAATCATGAATCAACCATACACCACTTGCATCAGATGTATGAACCAATGACACCATCAGACTGATGATTCCTTACAAACACACCAAGTCATCCCTTTACAATATCAGACATTCGATCTGTTATGAAAACTGATGATTCCTTACAAACACACCAAGTCATCCCTTTACAATATCAGACATTCGATCTGTTATGAAATTTTGGTCAATGAGATTTGTATTGAGACTAATTTTGTATCCATACACCAAGACATATACATAATTTAATTTGTGGTCCAATTGGAACTTGGCCCTAACCCGTGACCCGTCACTTGCGACCCGGCACCCGCGACCCGCTATCCAATTCGTGACCTGCATGTTTATTAGACCCACATCATATGCCATTCGATCAAGGAATTTCTTACTGGTTGTTGATTTGATTTGATCCATTATATATCTATATGGATTGGGAGGGAGCCGCAGGGATTAACACACTCACTAATTCGTATCGTTTAACTCTCTCACTCTACCTTCTTCTCTTTCGCTTCTCTCTACATCGTGATAATGTTCTTGGCCGTGGAACTCTTCTGGAAAGTCTATGCTCTTGAGCTTGTAGTTCTCCCCCTGTTTGCAACGCCTACGAACTGCAAGGGGTTCGATTCGTCGATTGTGACTTTATCTGTACCTGTGATGTTATTTTGTCCACTGTTTTGTGCCGTAAGCCTTTTTCTTCATATGTGGGAGTTGTTTTTTGTGTAGGTTAAGGGTCTCAGGCTGGTTACGTTGTGTTTGTCACGATTTACATATGTTTGTGTCAATTTAGAGTTCTTGGGTGATATTGGGGCTGAGCCTAAAAACCAAGTCCTAGTTCAAACTTTGTCTTGTATTTTCGTTCATTTTTCTTTAATAAAATCAAATTTATTCCGCGTTTATTTCATAACACGAACAAGAACAATAAATAATAAGTTCCGTAAAAGATGGCTTTGTGGTGTGGAAAGTGAATTTGTGACCGTGAAGTCATGGATTCAAACTCCACGCCTCTAGTGTGACTTGTCTTGTCGGATCTAGTTTGCAAAGTATTAAATTCAGCCGAAAATTTACCCAGTGTACATTCTCATATGGCGTCGACAGATTATCACGTTATATATATAAATAATAATTATAATAAATAAATAAATAAAGCAAGCATACTAACAAAATTCAAGAGTTTTAATTAAATGCAAGTACAGCGATACATATGTACAACAATTTCACATCAAAGTCACCCACAGTGCCATTCTTCTTTCCCAAATCTACACCATTAAAATAACCAAATAACAAAAAAGAAAACAAACTTCACACTTGATTGTCTTTTGAAATGTCCGTTTATGCAATTTGATGCAACACGAAGCTTGAGAATTAATCTTCCTTTGGGTTATCTGCTGCTGCTGCTACCGCCACCGCCGCCGCCGTTGTTGCTTCAGGCTCAGCCAAACTGGCCCCAGAAACAAGCCTCTCGACTGGGATCTTCATCACATCGCGCCGTACTCCAATATCCGAGACAATTCGACTAATACAGTAAATCCCACAGCCCATTGCCGTCAAACCAGCAAAGCCGGTAGTCATGAACCGAAGTGGTGACGACACAATGGCACTAGCAGCAGCTAGAAACGACGCTGCCTGGCCACTCCGTCCCACACTGACAGTTGTGAAAACAAGCAAACCAGTTTTGCAGTAGATTGCGAAATCCTCACAGTTGTTCTTGAAAATGTTGTAGACTCCAAAACCATTCTGTAGGAGGTATTCAGCTCGGTGGATGACATCCTCAGGTGGATCAGAAGAGGCTAGTGTACATGTGCCACCTCGAGCTTTCGCAAGAAAGATTGCAGGTGAAACACTGTACTGAAACTGGTAGAGCTCTCCGCTTGCAAGAAAACAGTCAAGGCAAGAAGAGATCACGCCGTCTTTATCTGATTGATCACCACATCTCGGGCAGGGGGCGGTCGAGGAATTGGATGAGGGTGAGCTCACAAGGTACCGGTCCAATATTGTTCCTGTCCCAATCTCCTGCCCAGCCCCACGAGTGAAATGTATCACCCTGTCATTCCCAACATAAATACCTGTTGTTTGTGGGAGCAAAGAAAATAAAGTCAACATCGTTAAGCTGGAGAGTAACGAAACCCAAATTCAGATAATTGATAAGAAAACATGAAGAATATAACATGACACAAGAACAAGTCCAACAGGATCAGATACTATAACAATGCATTTTTCAGTACTTGATGCACTTCAGTATAAACGAGAATGGAAAATCACCAGTTTAGGCTGCTTAATGTTCCAAGACTTTCGATTAAGCAACATAAAAAAGCACTAAGAGGATGGCATTTATTTTTTTTAATATACTTAACAAATAGAAATTAGCCGCAGAAATGAAGTCAATTGGAACAAAGAACCAAAATAAAAAAACCACAAAGTGAAGGATGACAGCTTCACATAGATGCTCTAGTACCATTTTACAGGTTAGAAAGTAATATTTACATGAATTTATATAACAAAAGGAGATTGACTTGGCTTTTCCAGAGGCCTCATCTCTACAAGCCCAGCTTGCGGCGCATAGCCTTCTTGTTTCACACATCTCAAAGTACAAAACTCTAAGGTGCCAGTGATACACCAGTTTAAACTTTAACACTTAGTTTAGCAAACTTGGCACAAACCTGAAGCACCTTTGGCCAGGTGCATAGGTTTTTTCTTATGTTATTACACTTCATGGAGGGAAACAAGAGAGGGGAATCTTGAAAACTTTCCTTGTATATCTTTTTATAGATTCTCAATGTCAACTCTTGAAAATATCTTACTTTTCTGTTTTAAATATTTGTATCACTTTGTCCTAGAACATCTGCTTTTTCATATTGTCCATCCTCATCTGGATTTCTAGTTAAGTTCATCATCATCATATCTTTAGCTTATTTTTTGTTTTAATTTTTAGCCTCAAAATCAAGAAAGTTCCTTTCTAACACAAAGTACACCAACACAACACGTGTGAATTGTGATCCCACCAGTAGAAAGTTCCTCATCAAGATATGTGGTGTTAACAGAAGATATTGGAATAAGTATCCTGAACAAGCGACTAAGTGAGGGGATTGTCCATCCTTTAACAAGGTTTAATTTATCCTTACATGCATGGGAAGCATACATTGCAACAGTAACATAAATATAAATTTCTAGTTAAAAGATTGCGAGTCTAAAGCTACCGGGTGTGTTAGTTTCTTACTCTATAAAATTTACAATGAATTATTTTTTCTCTAACAAATATTCATCCCAAAACTTATTTTCCATTTAAGCAAATTCAAATTCAAACACCTCCAAAACATTCAAGATTGCCTAAAACACATCCAAACACACCTAAATCACTTGTACATTTATAAGACTTATCAACAAACGTTAGGACTGGTTAGGGCCAATTGTATTGGAATCCCCATTGATGATGAATAGAAGCTATCAAACTGAATAAACTTCACATAATTATCCGAAGCCTAATAAAAGGCAAGATGCAGCACTAGCCCAAGCTCACAAGAGGGTTAATGCAAGAATATAATTTGTCACAAACCAAGTTAGACTTATGATCCAATTCACTGATATAAACATAGTAGATCATCACTTTAAATTTAACCAACAAAGTGTGCATACTTATTATGAAATTTATTAGATTCCTTCAGCATACAGCTGTAAGATGATAAACAAAGTGACAACTGATCTACAGATATCAATTCATAATGGGTGCAAGCAATTCAGGTTCTAATGTGATTATCAACATATAAATGAGTTCAAATAGAAAAATAAAATAAAATAAAAAAAGGTTCCAATAAGCTAGTAGAATTTAGCAGTATCATCAAACCTCGCAACTTCCACCTGTCATAACAAGCTAAAATAATGAAACCTACTATAAAAAGCCACAAGAATATGTATCTAATTAAGTATATCATATACCAAACGCTACTACTATGAAATTGACATACAAACAGATTTCCCCTTGTGGATATAGGCCTACCGACGGCATATATCAATTTCGCAGCCAAACATTCGATAGTGCAGATAGAACTTAGAAGCATTCTAAAATTTTGATTCATGAACTACATTGTCTTACAAAATGGAAAACTTGGTGTGGCCTATTGAAAGAGAGGAGAATTTATGAAAGGTTTAAAATGAACAAGATTTTCCCTTCGGTCAATCAGATCTTCAGTTCTGTCAAATTTGAACAGCCACTCACTGCCATAGAACACATGATGAATATAAATAAAAATTCCATTGCAGAAGTTAGTCGGTGAATTACTTGCCAACCAACCAATATCCATGAAGTAAAGTACAAAAGAAAACCCAATAAATTTCATGAAATGTCAATTGGCGTGCCGACAGGTCCAAGGGCTGGCAGCCATAAACGAACTTCTTTCGCTTTCAAATATTCGTTAATCCCAACTCCTTGACAGTCAAGTAAAATAAAACAAACAACAATTCGATTTCAATATCTTCTCGATTTTGTCCTAAACGTAATACGCATCTCAAATTCCCACCAGCAACTTTAATTAGCTAATGACATAAACAGGTCAATCATACGAATAAACCCACAGATCAAATATTCGAATTAAGTGCAAACACCAAACTCAAAACACAAATTTGCATATATATATATATATTGAGAGGGAGAAAGAGGAAGAGACTGGCCATGGTGCGCGTAGAGATAGGAGTGCCTCCAGGAATATATGTGATCACCAGGGTTCAACTGGTCTCTTCCGATCCGGTTGGAAAGCACTCCCACCATTGTTGCCCGGATGCTTTCCTTAGCGTGGAGAGGAGAGGAGAGGAACCGGCGGGCAACGATGAGTCGTTTTGGGGACGTTCGAATAAAAATATAGCGTGTGAAAGTGAAAGTCGCATTTGTTATTAAGACTAAGGTAAACTTCTTATTAATTAATGTTAGTTCCAGTGGATATTATGATATGATAGGGTTGGCAGGTGTTTATGAATGTCGGTTTCTTTGGTTTTCAACTTATTTATCTAATTTTTTATTTAATAATATTAAATCAGTTTTCAGGTATTTGTTTGTGGATTTTAATTTTTTTTTGGATTTTTAATAGTAAAAAGTTTTATTTGTATAATTATTTGATGTGATATAAATAGATGTTGTAATATTTTTGTTGAGCACAAATAATAATAATAATAATAAATAATGGCAGTAGGATTCTGTATGGGTCTGGATATAAGCCGAACGACCCAGAAGTCGGGAAAAAGAAGTCGGACAAACGGGGAGGTCTGTCAAGAGGAAGGTCGTGCAAGGAAGAAGTATGGACAGACGGTTTGTCAATAGGACAGTCTGTCCATCTAAGGAGATAAGGCAAATAGAGCCGGTCGGTTGCTCTGTGGTCGGGACCACAGTTGGTTGGTCTGCAGTCAAGACTGAGGTCGGTTGGTCCGTGGTCGGGACCACAGTCGGTTGCTCTGTGGTCGGGACCACAGGTGGTTGGTCTGCATTCGGGACCGAGGTCGGTTGGTCCGTGGTCGGGACCACAGTCGGTTGCTCTGTGGTCGGGACCACAGTCGGTTGTTGCGGAGTTCGGACCAAGTAAGGTCGGGTGCGATAAGGTCGGACAATGAGGTCGGACCTAGTCGGGCCAAACTTAAGGTCGGGCGCAAATAGGCCGAATTCGAAAGTCGGGTATGGTAAGGTCTGGTGTGGAGATGAGGCAGGATAAGGTCGGGCAGTGAAGTAACATGTGCAGGTCGGGTGAGAGAGCAGTTCTGGGGCGGTTGGAGGAAGTTGCAATTGCGAACGGTTTTTGAAGGTCGGACGTGGTAGGACGGTTGACACACGTGTCAATAGAAGAGAACTTTTGGGGCGGTTAACAGCGGTTATGGTAACCGACCAGATAGCAGTTCGAACCGTTTCTTCAACAGGGTTATTTATGGATCCGGTGCTGTTAAAAAAAAAGGCATCTTCAATCAACTTCAACAAAGCAAAGTCAGATTTGAGGATCACCACTTTATTTTCAAGTCTTTTATTTTATTTTTCCTATTTTATTTTATGTATTCTACAGTGTTTAGAGATCCCTAATCTCAGGCACTCATCTATCAAATTCGAAGATATTTCTCTATTTTCGAATTTTACTTTTTATTGTTGAAAAAACGCATCAACAATTTGGCGACCACAGTGGGAGAAAGACAAGATTGTTGATCCTACGTCAACGGAGAGTTTCATACGATTAAGGTCTGGCCGAATCATCAGAAAAATCAATATGGCAGGCACACAACCTCAATCATCATCAGCACCGGTGGGAGAAAATATTTCACCACCAGTCATGTCAAATCCAGGGGAGATTCCCCAACCACCTACCGATTGGTTGTCTTACGTTCAACAATTGAACAATCAACAAACTTTGGCTATGCAGAATATGTTGCGCAAACAACAGAACATCATGTTGCGTGAACACCAAAATCTAATGCAGAACATGTTGGATCAAACGTTCTCCAGATTCACCCTGCATTCAAACATGCCTCCAGCCATGTCACCTTCTCGTTTTCAGGCGACTTTTCCAGGATCAACGTTTGCAGGGCCAACATATGTTGATAATACATTTCCAAGCGTCACAACTTTCAACCAAACAAATATGGGGAAGACTCCTCTAACTTTCCTAGATAGTGTTCTTTTGGGACCGAGGGTTGATAATACCCAGCCGAATGAGAGGTTGGGGGGACAGGCTTATAATCCCATCCCAGCCGAGCCAACCTTCACCAGAGAAAAAAGATTGGGAGGACAGACGTACAATCCCCTCCCAGCCGAGCCAACCGTCACCAGAGAAGAAAGATTGGGAGGACAGGTTCACAATCCCCTCCCAGTCGACCAACCATCCTTAGAGAAGAGAGGTTTGGAGAACAGACTATTCATCCCATTCCGGTGTTCGATCCGGTTCCACCAAGGATAGATCCGGAGGACATCGCTCAAGTTTTACGGGTGCATTTCGGAATGAATCCGCAAACGATGAACAGGCTGGTTTATCAGAGACCATTTCTAGAGATAATCATCAACGGTTATCCTCTCCCAAGGAATTATCGACCGCCAGACTTTCATTTTTTTTCAGGAGAAGACGGATCCTCCACTATAGAGCATGTGGGTCGTTTCACATCACAGTTAGGAGAAGTCGGTAATAACCCTTTTTATAAACTGCAACTATTTAGCTTGTCTCTTACCAGGACAACTTTTTCATGGTTTGTAAATATGCCAACTGGGCAAATACAAACTTGGGAAGGTTTAGAGATGGCGTTCCGTGCTAGATTTTTCAACCATTTACCAGCCGTCTCTCTTTCCGATTTGTTGGAAATGAAACAATGTCCGGAAGAGTCAGCCTCACAGTTCATCGAAATGATACGATTGATGAAAGGACGATGTCCTACAGTAATCAATGAAAAAGAGTTGACCAATTTAGTGGTCTGCAATATGCATGATCGGTTGAGAGAGGCACTCATTGCTCACGATGTGGAAGATCTGACAAGTCTCACATCCAAGGCAGGGAGGTTAGAATCCCTTTTTAGAGAAAATGATCACGACTTCCGTCAAGGGGGAGATGCTGAAGCAATGTTAGTGCAAGATCGATCAACATGCAAACCACCACCAGTCCGCGATAAATAGAGGTCGGGTCCAACGTAGCCTCGGAAGATGGAGGTCGGATCTGAGGCTGATGTAGCCTCAGATGCTGACCTGTAAACTCCTAAAAAAAACATCACTAAAAGTGACGTTTAGGAGTCTTGAGGAGGCTTATTGTTGAGCACAAATAATAATACTAATAATAAATAATGGCAGTAGGATTCTAGATGGGTCTGGATATAAGCCAAACGGCCCAGAAGTCGGGAAAAAGAAGTCGGACAGACGGGGAGGTCTGTCAAGAGGAAGGTCGTGCAAGGAAGAAGTATGGACAGACGGTCTGTCAATAGGACAGTCTGTCCATCTAAGGAGATAAGGCAAATAGAGCCGGTCGGTTGCTCTGTGGTGGGACCACAGTTGGTTGGTCTGCAGTGAGGACCGAGGTCGGTTGGTCCGTGGTCGGGACCACAGTCGGTTGCTCTATGGTCGGGACCACAGGTGGTTGGTCTGCAGTCGGGACCGAAGTCGGTTGGTCCGTGGTCGGGACCACAGTTGGTTGCTCTGTGGTCGGGACCACAGTCGGTTGTTGCGGAGTTCGGACCAAGTAAGGTCGGGTGCGATAAGGTCGGACAATGAGGTCGGACCTGGTCGGGCCAAACTTAAAGGTCGGGCGCAAATAAGCCGAATTCGAAAGTCGGGTATGGTAAGGTCTGGTGTGGAGATGAGGCAGGATAAGGTTGGGCAGTGAAGTAGCATGTGCAGGTCGGGTGAGAGAGCAGTTCTGGGGCGGTTGGAGGAAGTTGCAACTGGCGAACGGTTTTTGAAGGTCGGACGTGGTAGGACGGTTGACACACGTGTCAATAGAAGAGAACTTTTGGGGCGGTTAACAGCGGTTATGGTAACCGACCAGATAGCGGTTCGAACCGTTTCTTCAACAGGGTTATTTAAGGATCCGGTGCTGTTAAAAAAAAAAGGCATCTTCAATCAACTTCAACAAAGCAAAGTCAGATTTGAGGATCACCACTTTATTTTCAAGTCTTTTATTTTATTTTATGTATTCTACAGTGTTTAGAGATCCCTAATCTCAGGCACTCATCTATCAAATTCGAAGATATTTCTCTATTTTCAAATTTTATTTTTTATTGTTGAAAAAATGCATCAACAATTTTAAATTTAAAATTAATTTGTATTATAATATAAAAAAAAGTAATAGTTTGATTTGATATTTTTTAAGGATAAAAAATTTGAATAGTAAAAACAGCATAACTTCACTAATGACTTAATCTGTTTGGGTACGTAAGCAACCCACTTTGGGTGCAACCATTGCAATATAGTTTTTACCAAAAAAACCCTAAACCCTAAACTATCCACCGATTTCCCAGCCACCGGAAACCCTAACCTGGACTTCACCATTGTTTTTTCACCACTTAATCATTTTCCGATCAACACTTTCATTAAGTTATCTGGTAATCCAGCCATTTTCCGGCAACTACACTACCACCATCGTTTTCATCAGCCCAAAAAACCCACAACTTGCTTACTCGCACCGTCGTATCTTTGCGGAAGGCGCTAGAAATACCCCCAATCAAAATTCGTCAAAAAATGCATCGCCGGAAAACTGCCCCTCTGGCGGTTTTTCTTTCGATTGAGAGGACATTTCTCGCGACAGATATCCTTTCGACAATCAAAAGTCTCCTTCGAGCGGATGCAGATGGTCGCCCGACTTTCCATTTCAGGTAGCAGGCTTCACCCTCATACTTGTTTTTTGTGACACTTAGTGTTGATATTACTTAGACTTGATAGGCTTAGTATTACTTGGTTGGTGCTGATGCCTTAGGCATGTTGCCTTTAGCCTTTGATACTTAGACTACCTTGGCTTGTCTAGTCTATTTTGTTTGACTTGGACTATATAACATGTATCAGCAGAACTACGTATTGTTTGATCCCGTTTGGGTACGTAGGCGGGGGCAGCTATTGCTGTATAGTTTTTACCCAAAAAACCCTAAACCCTAAACCATCCACCGATTTCCTAGCCATTGAAAACCTTAACCTCGACTTCACCACTGTTGTTGCACCACTTCATCATTTTCCAATCAACACCGCCATTAAGCTATCTATTGATCAGGGCATTTTCCAGCCACCGCACTACTGTCATCGTTTTCATCATCCCAAAAACCACCAACTTGGTTACTCGCACCGCTGTATCGCCGCAGAAGGCGCTAGAAATACCCCCGATCAAAATCCGTCAAAAATTGCATCGCCGGAAAACTGCCCCTCTGGCGATTTCTCTTTCGATTGAGCAGACA